TGTAGTATTGCTGCTTCCACCAATCCAATCGACTCCACGACATCCTATTCTATTCTCTTCTCACTATCACTCACAGATGCAGATCTCGATTTCTACTACCATCCATCCGCACACTCCAGCCTCACTCTTCTCACATATATTATATTTAATATATTTAATATCATATATTAACCAGTGTGTTTAAAATATTTGTTTCAATCCTAAAAATAATATTATTTTTTTGTCATCAAGTAAATACATAACTAGAAAAATAATTTTAAATTTAGAAAATTAAATTGTAAAACTTTAACATTCATGTTTTTAGGTGCTAGTTTAGGTGTGTTTTGAGGTTTGTGTGGGTGAGTGAGTTCAATCTTAAAAGGAGTTATTTTTTAGAGATTTTTTAAAGGGAGGTTTATATCTTGAGAAAAGTTTTTAAAAGTGAAGTTAAATTCCTCTTTCTCTTTCCTCTTGAAATCTTTCTTTTTCTCCTTTTAGCAATTGATTCATCTTGCAAAGTTTGTAATTCAATGTCCGGAGCCAAGAATCCTAAGTAAGAAGTAGTGTAGAGTTGGTTAAAATGTTCGTATTTTCCTTTCCTTTTTTTTTCGTGCAAATAGTCAAGAGATAAAGAAAGTTTGTGGTTGATAAGTTTCGAGTTGCAAGTTTTGTCTTGGTTGTTGATGTTGCTTTAATGTTGTTGGTTGAATAGATTCATGATGACATGATGAGTGTTGGGAAAACTTGTTGATTTATTAATTTTGTTAGATGCTTGTTGATTTTGTTGGTAGATATGTGTTTCTTGTGTTGAATAGATGTGGTGTGCTTTATTTCATGTGAGTTTTGGGTTGTATTTTCAGGTGTTCGATGAAATCAGTTCTTGCATGAATGCGGAAAATAATATTGCATTAGCCATGCCTTCAATCGTCGAGCGTGACTCTAAAGAGAAGTCTTTATCTCAATCATACTAGGCACAAGATCGATGATTTCGGGCGTGAGGATAAAGAATCGTCTCGAGTTGGAATCATGTCGATTGTGAGTTGAATGGCACAGGGCATAAGGAGAGAGAATTGTCTCCACCTGAATTCACGTTGAGTGTTAGTGGAATGGCATCGAGCATGAGTCAAGTAGAGACTCTCTACTTGATTTGAGGTCGAACATGGATTTTGTCATGTCAAGCGTGAGAGTGAGGGACACTCTCTACCTCAATCACGTCGAGCGTGAGTGGTGCAATGCCGAGCATAGATGAGACAAAGAGCTCTTTGTCTCAAAGGCGTCAAGTGTCCAATGAATAGAATTGGGCGCAAGCTGTATGATAAAAACCTATTGTTAAAATTGTTTTACAATTGATTTATGTTGAATTAGTTGTGTGAGTGATGTTGTAAGATGATATACTTGTGGTATGTAGCAAGTTGATCACATTGTAAAGTTGTGAGCTATTTAAGTTGCTTAAACTTATGTAGTTGTCATTCAATTAAAGTTGCTCATGCTATAAAAATGTATGATGTTATGTTGTGGACGATTAAATGTAAGTTGAATGATGTTTAGGTTGTAATGATGTATGACGATAAATTGTTAAGTTGTTTAGTTGTTAGGCACATGGTTGTGATACATGTCTATGTTAAACACAAAAACTATAGGATAGTTAAAGATTTTTTTTTAACTTTGATATCCTAGTGTATGAATATATGTTATGTTGAATCTTTTAGTAAGTAAGTTGGCTTCTTGATGAGTACATTGTTTTCACTTGTCTCCTCTAGGTTTTATGTAGTATTCGTGTGTGGGCAAGGTCAAGACACACATGTATAAAACGACCAACTGAGTGAAGTACGAAGTCGAAGACTTGGTTTCTAACTTAGTATCGAAGGATTGTGATATTTAGAGGGTAGTCAATGGATTAATCTCATATGTGACTTAATATTGCAAGTTAATGTCGTGGTAAGCTCATACCCAAACTATTTTATCTTGAGATAGTATCATATTTCCTAGTTTAAGTGGTGAAACTTGAGAAATCAATCTAAATCATGCTAGTCATTGTTTATAGCCTTGTACCATCCACTATTTCTAGCCTTAATGTCAGTCGTTGTTTATAGTCTCGTAACAATCGCAATGATTCGGTAGAGTCTAACCACTTGAAATGTTCACCTTAGTTGTAAGAGATCTCCATAGTTGATATGCGTGACGACACATCAATTCTATGTGTGTGTGTGTAATTTATGTTGCTTTATTGAAGGTGTTAAGGTGGATGATAGTTGAATGAGTATTTGTGTTGTTTTATGATGTTTGTGATGTGTTGATGACATAAATGTTCATGTTGTTTCGTGATATGTATATGTGCATATTGAAGTGAATAAGTTAAAGGCGTAAAGATGTATAGGTTGTTATATGGTGATAGTTATGAGTGACGTGTTGTTTGATGACTACTTTTTATATGAAATCTATAATAAAGATGTTAAGTTGTACAAGTTGTTCAAGTGCTTTAAGTTGTGTCGTAAAATTATTATTGGGTGTATTAAATGATGTTATATTAAGTTGTCTATGTTAAAAGTGCAAAGTTGTATGAGTTGTCATACGATGAACAATGTGATCATAATATTGTATGAAGACGATGTATTATTTGATAACTATGATAAAATTATCTAAGTTGTATGGGTGTTTAGGTACTTTAAGTTTTATGGCAAGACATGATATGATGTAATGAATGATGTTTCTTTTAAGATGTTTATGTTGCATGTTGTTGTATAACATTATTTTTGTATCACAAGCTTACCATGTATTTTTCATTTTGGTTTGGAACTGCTATGATCATATTTTGTAAGATAATAGGACAACAACATTAACGAGTCGAGTTGTGTTGTTTGGTGATGAGATACGTTGGAGGTGACTTTTTTTTTTATGTTGCTACCCTAAGGGTAGTTAAGTATTGTATAAATGTTTGATCAACGATTAGGTTTATTTTATATATAATAATTACTTCTTTTGTATAAAGTATGTATATATGTCTAGAATATTATGCAATAAATAGATAAATCTCATGTAAGTAGTTATATGTGTAAGAAATAAAGTGGTTGTTCCTAAACATATATAACTACTTACATGAGATTTACCTATTTAGTACATGATATCCTAAATAAATATTTAATATTTGATTTTTGCTTACTTAATAAGTTGATGGATCGTAATAAATATAACAATCAGGCGGACCCTTGCTATAATCAAAACATTTTACATAGAAAAATAATATTTTTAAATTATAGAAAATAAAGTATTTATAAATTTAAAACTAAAATTTATTAGTTTACAACATTAAAACGTATTTAAATAAAAATAACATTTTCTTTGGTTCAAAATAAAGAGAATAAAAAATAACTCGAAGATTCCTAGAAAGACTTTTATAATTTTATTGTTACTCACGTGTATTTAATTAACTATGTTTTTAGTGGGTATGTATTTTGATGATCTCTCAAATTAAAATCTCGTACTTTTAATCCTGAAAATATATATAAAAAAACATATTATTTTGGTTCTAAATTTTAAACTCTATTTCTTAATTTTTTTGCATTTTTTAAAGAAAAATATTGTTTTTTTTATAAAGAGAAAAATATTGTTTAAGTTACTATAAAAAAATCAAGAAATTAAAATAATAATTTTGATATTTTTAGGACTAAAAACAAATTTTAGACTTGAAGGAGAAAAAATTATATATTCTAAATTTGAGAGACAAAAACATATATAAACTTATTATCATAATTAGTTAAATATTTTAACTAAATTATACTTTCGATCATTTATTTTATATTTTAGATTCATTTTAATCTTTTGTTTTTTAAAATATACATTTTTATTCTTTATCTCCTAAATTTGGATCAATTTAATCTTTTAAAACAATGATTATTTTCAATTTAGTAACACAATTTTGGATTAATTTTCAATTGATTTAAGACATAAACTTAGATTTACTTATATAAAAATTATGATATTCAATTGATGTTTAAATCCAAAAGAATTATAAGCATAATGAAAATAGTGAAAAAAAAAATATTCTAATGAAAAATTAAAAAATAATATGATTTTTTTTTTTACATTTTGAACTTATTTTAATGTAATTTTCACGTATTTATAATATTTCTTATTTAAATTTCAATTGCATTCTATAATTCTCATACAAGTGAATATAATGAGATAAATTTTAAGTCTTAAAAAAAATCAAAATCATATCTCAAAATTGAAAATAATGACTTTCAAATAGACCAATCCAAATTTAAAAGATAAAATGTTAAAATGAATAAAAAATAAGATAAAGGTATAGTTTAATCAAATAGTTAAATACTTTCATTTTTAGGTCTAAATAATTTTTTTCGCGTCAATAAAGTGCTTTGACTTCGTCCCATTCTTACCAAACAAGGCCTCTCTATATCTGCTAAATTAAGCACAACGTCGTGCTTGCCGTATTGGTCCAATTTCAACGCTCTTTGTTTTCTATTTTCCAATTTCCACAAGAAAAATAGGTCACATTACTATTCCACATCTTTCATAATTCACACCACTGATGACAGTTGTTATTTTTTAATTTTTTTCAACATTATTATGTTGAAGAATCAAGTCATTAAACCTAGATCAACTATCATGTGCAAGTTATTATTTGTCGGTGGTGGCTGCAAAATTCGATCACATCTCATTTCATTACAAACGATTACGTACTCTCCTTGATTTCACTCTTCAAAATTGAGAGAACTTCATTTTAGAAAATAAAGTAAATTCCTGGCCGATGACTTAAGAAATTAATAATTAAGATTTTAATAATTATATTTTACAATACAAATAGGTATTATTTTATCACAATTTTAAACATTTATATTTTTACCGATAGTTATAATTATACTTGTAACACTGTTTTTTGTGTTTTCTGTTTATTTAAAATTTTAAAATTTAATTAATTTATGATTTTTTGTTTCTATGTTTTGAAACTTGAAAGATTTTTGAATTCTTAAGAATTTAGTTGTTGGAGATTGTTTTATGTTGAAATGAAAGTTGATCAATTTTGGGAGAAAGTATAAAAGATTTTCTAAGTATTAGAACTTTAAAAGTTCATTTATCAGAATTTATAGAGAGAAGTTTTAGAAAAATAAACTATGGAGTTTAAAGGGATCTTTCTTT